GCGGCTCGATCGGACTCGGTGCACGGGCACGCACTCGGTGGCTTTGCCCAAATGATAGGGCGAAAGTGGGACAAGTGTGTGGATCATCAGTATGGGCTCTGGATACGTGCTAATGCACGCAGGTTGTGCTTGGATCTATCTGCTTCTTAGTACAATTTGAGTGCCTCACTGCTTAAATGGGTAAACTTTACCCAAGGGTACTAAAATCTTACTATTAAGGCTTCTCTATTCTCTATTTCTTTTACCACGGTTGCTCTTCTTTACATTATGTCTCAGCTTAATACTGGAATACTGTTATCTGTTGTTGAGGATCCTTCTACTTTGCTCGCTAGACAACTCTCTCAAGTTATCTTTACGCTTACTACTTATTTGTTTCTTCATAATTTCTTTCTCAAAGCCTAATTCTAAACTAGTGATGTCGAAACACCACCAATACTTAGATATGATTTCATCACCACAACTTTCACATGCTTTCTAATCTTGAGGCATCGGGTCCCTCGACTTCTGGTGGAGGATGTCCGTGCTTCAAGTAAATGTTGGAACTTGCGGTTTTCCCTCATGGGGTCAACAATTTTTTTTTGGCTCTCGAAGGTGAATACTTACTCTCCTCCTTGAGTCTACTTAGCTTTCGGTAATGGGTGGACATCTTCCTTTCTTTATGAACCATCGGGCGCACTATAAAGTGACGTGCTTGGTCCAACAATTCCCAATTCGGATTTGAGTCTTCAGCTCTCGTAGCTTCCTGACGTCTCATGCGTTTGGCTCTGCTAACACTGGTCCTATTCCGGCACTTGGTCAATTGACTTCCACCTTTCGATCAAGTGGTCTTCCTCATAATATTTATGAAAATATGTCACACGATTGCGAACAACGGTTAACTCTCCGAGTGTTGATAGTGACATGTTCTCTAATCACGACTTTTAAAAATTTCTCTGTCGGTATATGAACGCGTAATTTATAGGTCTTCGTCTTTCTAAAAAGACTATCTTCAACTTTCCCCTGTGCGGGGTTGGTTCTTCTTCTTGAATTATGGTTGTTGCGATCTCCCACTTGGCTTTTGTTGGATCTACTGGTGGCTGCTACGGACTGTTGTTTGTGCATTTTTATTCTATCGGAATCTTCCGTGGGTGATGGCTTCTTTTTCGAGACGACGAGTAAGTCATCGTGGTGTCAAATTGTGATTTAACATGCATGCGATCCTTGCTCTTGTTCTGTTAAACTTGATCTTCTCCTTCTTTGACTACTAGAGATTACCTCATACGGTAACATGTCTACTATGGTTCAGCTTCAAGCCTCCATGGTTCTTCCCGGACTTATGGCTTTTATTTCAAGCCTCCAGGACTTACCCGGACCTACGACTCTTATACACTGAAACCCTCGCTTCTTTTACTTGCTTGAAGGCATCTTGCCAGTTTTAAGTGAGGCAATCTCTAGAGTTAGAACTTTACTCAAGCGTACATAGTTCAGACAATGAAAAGTCCACTGTCTTACCTATGTACTAATATCTATCGACTTATTCTTCTTTTAACATTTCCAACACTAATTCGTTAAAAAAAATCTCGAGCAGTTTCTTTCTCTCTCTCTCTCTCTCTCTATCTTTTCATTTATTATCAATGTGGCTCGCCGCACGATCCCCGTTATAACTGTGCGTACAACAATCACGCTCGTCTGTAATGTCTGTTATCTAACCTTCGAAAATGCTGATTTATAGCTACAACTTGCTTTTCATAGCCATGGTTGGCCACTAGAATCAGAATGTCTCTCCTCGTTCCGATAATGACTGTCTTCTTCTCTTTGGTGTCTATGAGGTGACGAGCAAACACGCTCTTACGAGCGAAGTCGCACTCGTACTCCTCTGCCGAGCTGCCCCCTTACTGAAGGGCATATAAATCTTGCTCCATTCTCTCGCGAAAATGGCGCGGCAAAAATTAACTTCCAGAATCTACTTTAGCCACTCTCATGTCTGCTCATAATGCTCCTCCTTCCCCAAACGCCAGTAGTCGTTCCACCAATCTCGGGAATTGGTCTACGACTACAGCATGTTCCCGCTGTGCGGGTGGGTTTTGAGTTATGCGTGGTGGCTTTCTGGAAAGCCACTAACTATTGAACTAACACCGTATAGCCGATTAAAAAATAGCTATACTATACTTAGCGAATTTTTAACAAATTTCCGAATACACCTAGCTTGGCTA